GTCTTTGCCTCATCATACATGTCCCTAATCGCTATAATGTTGGATACCGACACGCCTTTTGCCTCCAAGCTTCTCCAGAGAACTTCTCTAGGAACCTTGTCATACGCTTTCTCTACGTCAATAAACACCATGTGCAGGTCTTTCTTCCTATCTCTGTACCGTTCAACCAATCTCCTGACAAGGTGTATAGCTTCTATAGTAGAGCGACCCGGCATGAACCCAACTGGTTGTCGGAAACGGACACTGTCATCCTCAACCTCGCTTCAACCACCCTCTCCCACACTTTCATAGTATGACTCAGTAATTTGATACCCCTATAATTGTTATAACTCTGGATATCACCCTTGTTCTTATACAATGGGACCATCGTACTCCACCTCCACTCATCCGGCATCCTTTTCGCCTTAAAAATAACATTCAACAACCTTGTCAACCACTCCAAACCTGCATTCCCCACGCACTTCCAAAATTCTACCGGAATCTCGTCAGGCCCGGTCGCTCTGCCCTTACTCATCTTACTCATAGCTCCCGCGACCTCCTCAACCTTGATGCGCCTGCAGTACCCACAACCTCTGTGACTCTCGGAATGCTCCAATTCACCTAGCACAATATCCGATCCCCTGCTTCATTAAGAAGTTTTTGAAAGTAAGTCTGCCATCTCCTCTTAATCTGGGAATCTTCCATCAATACTCTACCATCGTCGCCCTTGATGCATCTCACTTGGTCTAAATCTCGAGCTTTCCTCTCTCTTAGCTTCAGTGGCGGATCCAGGATTTCAAAGTCATGGGTGCTCGTCGATAAAAATTCTGAAAGAAGAGGAAATATGAATTTACTGATAAGTGCTCACCCGATACTTATCTTAAAATTTGATAATTGCTATGTAAATCTACTAATCATAGTCAAAGACAATGGGTGCTTAAGCACCCATATAGTTCCATGTAGATCCGCCAATGCTTAGCTTGGCCAGCCTAAATAACTTCTTCTCCCTGCCTTTTTCCCCTAGTTCCTCGTACATACGACTATAAGCCGCAGTCTTAGCCTCGTGACCGCCAGCTTCGCTTCCTTCCTAGCTACCTTATACCTCTCCATGCACGCTCGCCTCTCCTCCTCACCTATGCTCCCCACTAACGTCCGGTAATGCCTCCTTCTTCGCTTCCACTTTACCTTGTACCACTTCATTCCACCACTAGTCTTCTCTGTGCCTGCCTGAGACGCCCGTCGAGACCCCTAACACCTCTCTCGCGGCCTCCTTATACAGTCTGCTGTCATTGACCACATAGTGCTCGCGTCACCACTGCTCCTCCAAGCTCCCATAGCTGACAACCGCCCCTCCAACTCTTGGGCTTTATCCTTAGTTAAGGCTCCCCACCTGATTCTCGGTCTTCCTCGAGCATACATTTACCTAAAATATTACTAACAATTAAATAATAACGACGAGTAGTTGGGTCTTGACCTAAGCCTTAATTAACTTACATACTAAATAAAAAAACTTGTAAAGCAAATGTAATGTTAATCAGTTTCTTATACCGATTCATGTAAAATATAGTGACAACATATACTGTTTCAAAGACAACAATTATTGAAATTCTATTTAAATCATTGTTTGAATTCATAGCGTGATCAAGAGTAAAGAAACAAGCTTGATTCACCTAATATGCAGTTACTGCTTCTTCCTTGCGATGGGCAATGCATTTTACTTAAAACGAGGCGAGGTGCAAGCCTCATGACTTTTAAAATTTAATTTATAAATTAATAAAATAGCATATAACATAAAAATATAGAACTAAGCTCCACGCGTGCCTCAAGGTGTTTTAATAGTACATGCTTAGGGGCGAGTCTCAATGCGAGTTTCAAAAAAGCCTTTTAAATTATTGCTTCTTTCTCAATTAAACTAATTAATTAAAACGGTGCATTACATAACATCAAGAATAATTTTACTTTAATACATAATGTTGGAAAACTTATTTTTGGTAAAGACAAACATGCACGATCTTATTGTTCTCATTTTAGTATATATGTTGGATTACGATAGTATCTTGATGGGGTCCCCCATAACCTTCCAAGTGACACTACTAGAAATTCGAAAAAAAGCGATCAAAAATTTGCGACCAAAATTGATCTGTCAAGAAAAGCGACCAAAGTTGGTCGCTAAATTGGAGAAAATTATTAAATAATTATTCTAAATACATTAGCGAACAAGGTTGGTCGCTTTTTGATCGATAATGTGGTCAAAATGTTGACCGGACTGGTCAGACTTGCTTGGTCAAAGAAATATTAAAATTAGCGACCAATTTTGGTCGCTAAAGTGGGACCCAGTTATAAAATTTTAATAATTATATTATTATTTAAAAAAATTATAAAATATAAATAAATATAATTTAAAATTTTACGAAAGGGGAAGCAGATAGAGACCACTTTGGTCGCTAATCTGGGACCCAGTTATAAAATTTTAATAATTATATTATTATTTAAAAAATTATAAAATATAAATAAATATAATTTAAAATTAGCGACCAAAGTTGGTCGCTTACAAAAGGGGAAGCAGATAGAGACCAACTTTGGTCGCTAATCTGGGACCCAGTTATAAAATTTCAATAATTATATTATTATTTAAAAAAATTATAAAATATAATTCAAAATTAGCGACCAAAGTTGGTCGCTTACGAAAGGGGTAGCGACCAACTTTGTTCGCTAATTTTAATTTTTGGATAATTAGCGACCAAAGTTGGTCTCTTTTCAGGTCAACATTGGTCAAAATTAAAAATCACTTTTATATTTACTATCTAAATAATATAAATATAAGCCGTTAACACTTTTGTAATACAAGAGATGAATACACTAAAATATACTCTACATGCTATATATGTAGTTAAAATTGTACAACGAAGCGTGTTATATATATATATATATATAGAAACACACACACAGACACTTCACTGTAATACTATAACGTATATATAACTTGTTATAGTATATGTTAGTGTGTGTATATATATATAACACACACACTTCATGTTGCTTTAACTACATANACATGGGGTCGGTTGTGCTGATGCTACACTCTGTGCATCTTTTTGCAAAGCTCACAGTACCGGAGCAGCAGCTTTTGGACAGCAGTAGGAGCATTTGGGAGCTGACTTCAGTCCAGAGATCCCGAGGTAGCCTTGCTGACGTCCGCATGGCCCGGAGCCTCTTCTATCCTTATTTCGTTTGTTGTCCTTGTACCGGAACAAACAGTATTGTATTTTATTCAGACTCTATTTTTAGTATTCTATAGACATTCGTGAGTTAGTGACTCCAGTCTTGGGTAGAAGTTGAAATTGAATTCCCGCACTTGTTTCAGTTCATTTATATTTAAAATCTCCGTTTTTATATTAAATGTCTCATTGCCTTAATATTGTCGATGTTTGCCTAAAAGGTTAATAATTAATTGGCTTGCCTAGCTCCTAATAGTAGGCGCCATCACGNATGTGTATGTTTGTGTGTGTGTGTGTGTGTATATATATATATATATATATATATATATATATATATAGAGAGAGAGAGAGAGAGAGAGATAAACACACACACACACACACACACACACACACACTTCACTGTAATACTATAACGTATATNAGAGAGAGAGAGAGAGATATAAGTCGAGACGTCTTGTTTTTAATATTCAATGATGCATCTGAGTAGGTTATAAGTCGATGAATCAATTTACAAATGTATAAATCCCTAAAATAACCCGACCATGTGATCCTAGCGCTTCATGTTATATATATATATACACACACACACACACACACACACAGAGACTAACACACACACTTCGTGCTGCTTTAACTACATATATAGCATGTTATAGTATATGATACTGTATTCATTATTTGTATTATAACAGAGTTAATGAATTACATTCATTCATCACTAGNATATATATATATATATATATATATATAAGAACATGAAGCTCTAGGAACACATGATCGGGTTATTTTAGAGATTGATACATATAGCCGTATATATATACTTTGATAGCCGTATATATGTATCAATCTCTAAAATAACCCGATGATACATACATACGGCTATCAAAATATATATATATATATATACACACACACACAGACACTTCACTGTAATACTATAACGTATATATAACTTGTTATAGTATATGTTAGTGTGTGTATATATATAACACACACACTTCGTGCTACTTTAACTACATATATAGCATGTTATAGTATATGATACTGTATTCATTATTTGTATTATAACAGAGTTAATGAATTACATTCATTCATCACTAGGTTATAAGTCGATGAATCAATTATAACAGATTGATTAATATAGGTCGAGACGTTTTGTTTTAAATATTCAACGATGCATCTGAGTAGGTTATAAGTCGATGAATCAATTTACACACAGATATATTTGATGAAAAATTATATATACTAATTAGGATCTTGACAAGTCAATCAATCCCAAATTCTCTAACCGATCACTAATTAAAGAGATTAGCTACCTCTTCTCTTATAATAGCTTAATTAGTTGATTGGCTGTCTGATCTTTTGCTTTTGTTGGTGAGGATTCAATTTCTCACCTAATAATACCCTGCCATTCCCCTTTTAAAAAAAGAAAAAAAGTTTAAATACTTCTATACATTACTAATGTAAAAATTTCTACGTTTTCCAAATCATTTAAAAGGTAGAATTAGTAACCTATTTAAGCAATTAATCTTTTATAGCATGTTAAATAAGATTGATTGTGTGGCTAATTTATTACACTATCAGTTTATATAACTTAAATCCGATTAATATGACCTGAACTAATTGTTTTTATGGTTCCACGTAAGTCAGCTAAGCCTGAATTTCACATTGATCTGGCCCTATCTTAAAATCTTAAAGTAAGGAAATCCTGTTTGCAGCTTATTTTTCATTGCAAATTTTTGGTAGTTTGTCATCAAAAGCAAATGAAGTCAAGGAAAGAAAGCAATATGAACAGAATTCAACTGAATAAAAATTATAAAGGATCCCATCACATTGTAACATATAGTTTACATAAACCAAAAGTATTAAAAGACAAAACTGAACATCTTAGTTAAATAAATAATAACATAATTCCTTAGAACCTAATAAATAAAGGTCCAAGTCAAATTAGACATATATAGTAATGAATTAGTGGGAAAGAAAGTATAGGAAATTAAATCAATGGGTTACTCTTCCAATGAATGTGTCCAAACTCATCTCACTTGGATCAGTAGCTTGCAACTCAACTTGAACACCATCTAATTCTCTCCTGAATCTGTCTTTTGAACTTGCATACAGCATCTTACTTCTTACCCTTGCTGTCTCTGGTGACCTACATTCCAAAATTGCAGAATAACACATTATTCAATCCCATACAAATTGAAAATTCATCAAGATTTGTCTTTGTCAAACTATTTGAATATTGATTTAATTTCACGGATGAGTTAATTAATAAGAAATAAAATAAAAGAGAGAGAGAGAGAGAGAAGGAATAGAATGGGTTACCAAGCAACAAAAAAGATCCTGCTTTTCTGGACATTTTCGTTAGTAGTCCAGTCGTAGTCAAAAACAGCATAACGGCACTCATTGGGAGGCAAACTGTTAGCAAAATCTTCATGTGTCTCAGCCTGTCCTCCTACTTTTTCAACCACAACTTGCTGCACAGATTCCTCTATCTTGAACACTAGGTATCTGTGGTTCCTTTTTGCTTTCAATTCCAAGAATTTCAGCTTGCAGTCATCGCTCACTGCTATCCCTGACGCCGAATTGGCCTATCCATAATGCCACAAACAAATATAAAACAAAACTTGCTCAAAACCCTTCATTATTAACAATTAAAAACTAGAAAACAAATTATTATATATATATATATATATATATGCTTTTTCTTATTATATTTTCTTTAGAGAGTTAGGGAAGCGGGACCATTGGGGCATAAACTTCTTCAATTCCTCATTCGTTTCCTATGATACGTTATAGCATTTCAATAATGTCTCTGTTTGGTATGATGCATTCAAGTCATTTTCCATGTTGTATATGAAAATTACTAATTTCCTGAGAATGCCTATTAAATCACATATATGAGAATGCCTCTTATAACTTTTGTTACACCATGGACATAAAATATTAACTCGTTTGCTTTCTCTATTCAGGACTCAATATTTTCTTCATCTCTAACCAAAAAGAGAGATATAGAGCATATACAACATAGTAACGTACCATTTGAATATCTGCCGAATAATGGTGTCTATGAAAAATGAAAGGGAAGCAAGTTGTTGTTTTTTGCAAAAAGAAAGAGAAGAAAAGAGGGTGTGAGAGAAAACAAAGAGATCCTTGATTTTGGGTTGAGGGCATTGAAGTTGCAAAGGCAGAACAAATGTTCAGTTTAGAGATACTATAGGACGGTTTTTGGACAAGATATGGTCCATAATTTCATATCATTTTGCATCGACCAATTTCCTCTATCAATACTGTTAGTATTTTCACCTCATATTATGGTTATTCGTTATTCCTCCTATAATTGTGGATTATTGTTTGGGCACATTAAGGCCAATGAGTCAAGGTGCTAAATGTGCAATTTCATTTACTTTTATCAAAAACACGCATCCACTATAATAGAAAATAATCTCCTATAACCAGTTGCAATTTGAATATAAGAAAATGATCATACAAAGGTTTCATATATTTTATTTATCGACCTAAGTGTTATATTTTATAAATATCCCATAAAAATAATCATAAAATTAAAAGAACATCGGTAATGGATCATAAAACCGATCTTTCCTATATGAGCGAAAGGACAAAAAGATAATTTTAGCAACATGTGAGTTCCTCTTCCACTCTACCTGCATTAGGTAGGGGTAAGGTCTGCGTACAGACTACCCTCCCCAGACCCCACCTGTTAGAAACATACTGAATTTTTTGTTGTTGTTGTTGAGTTCCTCTTCCACCCTCCCCAAAAGGGCTTTCATCCCTTAAAGCTCAAGATAGTTCTTAATTACCCCATACAACAATAATAATAAGAGAAACTTTCAGAAACCACTATGCTTTAGTGGTTATTAGCTAGTTGTAGCTACCATTTACTATATTACTTTCTATAGCTGTGTTTTCAGGTTTTTTAGAGTGTATTCGATGTATTTAAGCTACTGTATTCATGAATACAATAGCATTTCTAGGCATGAAACATGGGATTACATCTAGACAGATTTTTGAATTCGACTGTATTCGACTGTATTCACGGCGTGAAACAGGGGATTACAGCTAGACAAATTATTGTATTCGACTGTATTCAGCTGTTTTTAAACGGAAAGTGAATCAATTAATATAATAGACTCCTAATATAACTCAACAAACTCAATTATAATACACAAAATTTGTATTTTCAGTTATAAAAAAGATTCTCAACCGAAAAACACCCCAAAAACATAGCAATCTTCAGAGAAAATATGCTGAATATTTTTCCCAGCCGATAAATACAACAAAAATAGAGCAATTTGAATACATATATACATCTGAATACATAAATTATATTAATTAAAAAAATATATGAATACATTCATGGAATACAACGAGACAGCGAACACAATGAAATACATGGAATACAACGAGATACATTGAAATACAATTGAAAAAAAGACAATGAATACAATAAAATACACGGAAATACAGCGAGATGCATTGAAACACATGAAAATATATTAACAAAAAATTCAAGTTGCTCAGCCCCAAAGACCGTCGTCTTTGTTCAAGAACAACCCTAAAGTCATCTCGTCGAGAGGGCCGCGATTCTGACTCGAAACGCCACTGTTCCTGTTACCATAATACCCTCACGTGCGCTTCAAAAACCTATTCTTTACAATTGAATTTGAATGGCGCTTGTGGATTGGGACGGAAAACCCCAGATTGGGCAGAACCCTAGAACGACGAAGAGAAGAGGAAGACGGAGATTTATATAGAGTTTTGTTTCTCAATTTACAACCGCAATCGCAGCGCCGCCAACGGTAACAACATCCGTCAAACACTTTCCATGCGCCGCCATAGTGCTGCTGCTGCTACACGTGGAATCGATAATTTGGTGATAGAGACTTTCCCCACTTTTACCTACGCTAAAGTAAAGGATCATCATATCGGTAAAGGAGCTTTGGAGTGTGCTGTATGTTTGAACGAGTTTGAGGATGACGAAACGCTGCGTTTGATCCCAAAGTGTGATCACGTTTTCCGCCCTGAATGTATTCCAGATTGAGAGTCAAAGCTGCCCGTTTCGATATGTATTTGGGAGAATTGTGGTTGTATTCATGGAGAAAGACTGGAGTTGGGAGAGAGAGGATGGAGAAAAATCTGAAAGAATGAGAGAGAAAAATAATACAAGGCGTATTTTATGGCTTAAGAGTAGGAGGTGACCATAAATAGATATTTGGCTATAAAAATCAAAAGGTAGTTATGGAATATAATTTTTTAAAAAGGTATTTATTTAAAATAAATAAGGTATCAACCTTTTCTATAGGAAGTAAAAATTCCTAATAATAAACCCAATGCAATCTCACAAATGGGGTCTGGAGAGGATAGTGTATATGCAGACTTTACCCCTATCTTGAGAAGGTAGAGAGGCTATTTCCGATACACCCTCGACTCAAGAAAAGATGAAAAAGAAAAGCAGTAGCAACATGCAATAATAGCAGCAAGATAGCAAGAAACCCGAAGCGAAAGAATAACAGGTTGTAATAGAAATCTAAAAATTAAAAAAAGTACAATACCACCACTAATACTATATAGGGTATGAAATAAAAAATATTTCATACCCTATGAAATAACTAAATATAGGGGTAATGCATTACAAAAAGTTCAATGTGCACTGATAAACCATGCTAATTTTCGGAGGCTAACTAAGGCCTCATTTATTTTTTTAAGATTAAGACGTTTGAATCTGAATACACATCTGAATATCAAGATGTGTATTAAGATTAAGACATCTGAATATATTAAGATGTGCATTAAGATCTGAATACTAAATAATTAAGACTGTTTGATTTTTAACATCTGAATGTATAAATTTTTTCTTTATTTGAAAATTAATAAACATAAAAATCAAATGAAATACTAACTAATCTAATATTCTATCAATAAAATATATAGTGTTTTAAAATATGATAGTTGTTGGTGGTGATGGCTAACGGGTGAATTCCGACTAGAGGCGGTGGTTGGTGGTAGTTTTGGTTGATGATGGTGGTTCATGCTAGTAGCTAGTAGTGATTGGAAGTGGTGGCGATTATGATTGAGGATGGTGGTGGTGGGTGGTGATAGTTAATAATGGCGGGTGGTGGTAGTAGTTGTGACTGATGAAGGTGGTGGGTTGGTGGTGGTAGGTTATAATAATGGGCAGTGCCGGCTGTGGTTGTTGATGGTGATGGGGTGGTCAGTTGTGCTAGTTGAGGTGGATGAGTATTGATTGCGGGTGAGAATGATTATGGTGGTCAGAATGGTGGGGATAGTGGGTGGTGATGGTCGATAATGGTGGCGACTATGATTGAGGGATGGTGGCGTGGTGGTGGTGGAGGTGGTGGTGGCAGTGGTGGTGGTTGAGTATGGTGGTGGCGGCGGCATGGTGGTAGTTGATAATGGTAGGCGGTGACGGCAGTTAATAATGAATATGTGATAACATCTTAATGAAATTAAGTCTCTGTTATAGATCTTAATCATACAGACCTATTCAGACCCTGTTAAGAGTTGTGTAATTATGTTGATTATATGTATACTGTTATGTGTTAGTTGTATGTTAGTTGTTAGAGTAGTGTTAGTTGAGTAATTAGTGGCCAGCACAGCATTAGCTGTTACACACGTGTATATATTCACAACAGTAATGAGAAAGGCTAAGCTTTCCATTTTCTGCATCTTCTGCTCTCATTTCTGATGAACTCTCTCTCTCTGAACCTTCTAGAACGACTCCATTGGAGCTCAATATCGAGCTTCAAGCTCACATCCAAGTCAGAACTTAATATGGTATCAGAGCAAGGGAATCTCTCCTCGATTATCTGTCTTCGTCTCCGTTCATTTTCCCCAATTTCTTCTTCTCATAATTCTGCTTCTTCAATCAGATCGATTTTGCCCTAATTTCTTCAAATCGCAAAATCGACAGTCAATTCTTCAAATTTTTGCTGGTGTTAGTATATAACACAACAAAGTTCTATACTCATGGCCATATTAGATCACGAAAATACATCTGTTGGTGCTACTGCTATTCCATCTGCGACAAACATCGGAATAGATCCAAGTGATCCTCTTTATCTGCATCCGTCAGATAATCCTAAAGCAATGCTCGTTTTAGTTCCTTTTAGTGGAATTGGATACAGGTCTTGGAGGCGCAGTGTAATGCGTGGTCTATCCGTCAAAAACAAGCTAGGTTTCATAAGTGGAGAATGTAAGCCACGGAGCCTCAATATCAGAGATTCAGACAATGGGAGCGACACGATAATATGGTAACGTCTTGGGTTCTAAATTCACTTTCTAAAGATATCGCGGATAGTGTGGAATATGCTAGCAATGCTGTTGAGCTGTGGAAGGAATTGGAGGGTAGATATGAGCAGACTAATGGTGCCAGACTATACCAGATCCAGAAGGAGATAAATGATTTGTCTCAAGGTGTGTTGGACATTACAGGCTACTATACTAAGGTGAAAAAGCTATGAGAAGAGCTAAACACCTTGAGCAAAATGACTCACTGTAGATGTACCTGTACATGTGGTGCCAAGGAGAACATGCACAAGGCCGAGTAGGATAGAAGATTGATATAATTTCTTATGGGACTCAATGAAATCTACACCGTTGTGCGAGGCAGCATCCTTATGATGAATCCACTGCCAAACCTTGCACAAGCCTTCTCGTTACTTGTTCAGAATGAGAAACAAAGAGAGATTAAGCCAAGTGACCAAATGCTACTTGAGTCTGCCTCCCTAAGTGTCAACACATCAAGACCTGGCTCTTACAAGACCAATTATGCTGCTAATAACAATTCAACTAGAGGCAATAAGCCTCGTCCATTCTGTGACTATTGCAAAAAGCTGGGACATACCAAAGACAAATGTTACAAGTTACACGGGTACCCTCAGAACTTTGGAAATTCATACACTCAGAATTCAAATAGAGGACAGAATCTGAACCAAGCTGAAAGGTTCAACAAAGGAAGAAGAATAGTGGCCAGTCTGTAGGGCATTTCTTCTGAAGCAATGTCAACAGGAAAAGATGAATCAGAAGATGGAAATGAGGTGGGGCAAATCAATCTCTCTAAAGAACAGTATGGACAGATCCTGAGCTTGCTGCAGCATTTTCCAATTGGAACAGGAGGAGAAAGCTCCAGTTGCTACAAGTCATGCCAATGGTGCTGTGNACTATGTACGAATAATTAATGAATTGATAAACCAATATAATATTATTCTATTAATTGATATAATAGTATTCATTATTTGTATTATAACAAAGTTAATGAATTACATTCATTCATCACTAGGTTATATATAGACACACACACAGACACTTCACTGTAATACTATAACGTATATATAACTTGTTATAGTATATATTAGTGTGTGAATATATACAACACACACACTTGTGCTACTTTAACTACATATANTTATATATATATATATATATATATATATATATATATATATATATATATATATAGACACACACACACACACATACACACACACAGGCACTTCACTGTAATACTATAACGTATATATAACTTGTTATAGTATATGTTAGTGTGTGTATATATATAACACACATACTTCGTGCTACTTTAACTACATATATANCCCAAGGTGTCTGAAGAACAAACATTCAAGATCATTTGTAAATAATCCAAATGCTAGTTCTGTTTCTTCCACTTGTTGCACACACAACTCACATTGTTTTCATCATTCCACTGTAAATGGCTCATTGTCTAGAAACAGTTGCACATCTCATTCTGTTGTAAATACTTGTTCCCCAAATAATAAAGTGCAACCTTCCATTGTGAATGGTGTTAATTCTTTGATGTCTTCAAGTAGTGATATAAATGTGTTGTGGCACAACAGACTGGGCCATGTACCCTTTGTCAAGATGAAGGGAATGTCTAGTATCCCAGCATCCTTCTCCCCAAAACAACCTTTTACCTGCTCTGTCTGCCCAATGGCAAGACATGGGAGATTACCATTCCCAGAAAAATCCACTGATTATACCAAAATATTTCAGCTACTTCATGTTGATCTCTGGGGTCCCTATCATATGCCAACCCATGATAATTTCAGATATTTCATCACCTTGGTAGATGATTACAGTAGGTCCACATGGACTCACCTACTGACCAGTAAAAGTAATGCTCTCCAAGTCATCAAAAACTTTGTGTCAATGGTTGTAAACCAATTCAGTACCACTAATCCAATCTATAAGGTCAGATAATGGCTTGGAATTTAACAATACAGAAGCCAATCAGTTTCTCCTCTCCAAAAGAATTATCCACCAAAAGACATGTCCTTATACACCACAACGAAATTGCATAGTGGAAAGAAAGCATAGGTACTTGTTAGAGACAGCTAGAGCCCTTTTATTCCAATCAAAATTACCCTTAAGATATTGGAGTGAATGTATCCTATGTGCAACCTATATAATAAACAAACTGCCTTCTTCTCATTCCAAAGGCAAGTCACCATATGAACTACTGTGTAACAGAAAGCCTACTTACTCTCACATGAGGAGTTTTGGGTGCTTATGTCACCCTACAGTACCCTAAATCCACAGAGATAAGTTTGAACCTAGAACCACGCCACATGTTTTTATTGGATATCCCTTTGGGGTAAAGGGGTACAAAGTGCTTAGTCTGGCCACCAAGAAAACACATATATCTAGAGATGTAATTTTTAATGAAAATGTCTTCCCTTTTTGCATGTCTAAGGACACTACTTCATTTCCTCATACTGTCCAGTCCATCCCTTTCATTGATTTTGTGTCTAATAAGAATGAGCAAAAGCAAACTAGTGAGTCAAATGATCAAAGGGTTTCAAATGTCACACATCCAGATTTGTCTTTTGTTCCTTCATCCTTTTTGATCACGCCCAACTATGCCTTATAAAAAGGACTAAGCGGTCGTTGCAAATATAATCCGATTTATAAGTCCGGAGTCGAATCCCACAGAGAACTAAGGCTTAGCTACAACTGTTCAATATTGTTAAGCAGACAAGCTCGAACAATTCCTATGTTATAAATATTAAGATTCTTGTATCTAATTAACTAACTAATTAAAGTGGTAGATTAACACTAAAGATACTACGGGTTGGAGATAAGATTAAGGAGGTCTAGAGTTATGATTTCCCCAATTGTCGAAATCCTTCCCGCTACGTTTTCTATAAATTCGCCTAAGTATTCTCTACCGATCATGATCGCTCTGACTGTCGTAACTCTCTCCCGAGTAATTACCACAATTTACTAGACATATTCTCCTGAATTATGCTAGCTGGCATTAAGTACGGCTCACTCGAATCACACCCAAGGTTTCGTTATCTCTCATATACGTTAGGAGTGATGTTGTTCAACAACTACCTAAATATGTACTCTCTCCCAAGTAATACACACTAAATAGGCACAGTCGATTGTGAGCTCTTCAACCAACCACAATAATAATGTAGTTGAACAAATAGAGAAAATACTATGGCAAATCTATATTAACGTAACAAGAAATCATCCTTCAATAGGTTCCATCAAAACCATAGATAACAAATTAGCTATTCATAATAGTATGCATAACTACAATACTAGGATTCATAACCAATAATAGAAATAGGAAGAAGGAATTTAAAAACTCGTAGAAAAATTCTCCGCCTTGCTCCTAGTGTGTTCTTGCCTCCGTAGGTCTCAAGTGTGTCCAAACTCGATCTCCCCTTCTCTGTCTCTCTCTAAAGTCCCTCAAATTGGCGTTTTTGGGTCTATTTATATGTTTGGGACAAGCCCTAAACGTGTAGGTCAACTCCTAGTCAAGCCGGGAAATAATTAAAACCTTCAAAACTCGGACTGGGCCTGGCCTTAGGCCTGGCGTCGCCTGGATAACGCCAGCCTAGGCCTGACTTTAAGCTAGCCTCGCCTGGATAAAGCCTGGTTAGGCCTGGCTTTAAGCTGGCCTCACCTGGATAAAGCCTGGTTAGGCCTGGCTTTAAGCTGGCCTCACCTGGATAAAGCATGGTCGAGCTGGCTTTTGCCCGACTTCTCCTTTTCACCGTTCTCGAGCGCACTTTCGACGTTTAAGTATCCCTTTAGCTCTAGTTTTATTTCTGATGCACCTACACATAAAATAGACTCTATTATGCGCAAATAAAGTGTAATTTATCATTAAAGCATGTATAATGCAAGGCAAATAATGTACGAAACTATGGAATTATAGACACACATCAATACCCCACACTTAAACATTGCTCGTCCTCGAGCAATCAAACTACACTTATAGACACGACCTTTTTAAGCAATTCTCCTAAGTCATCACACCAAGAATATTTGAAATAGACTAAGCACAAAGGTATAACATCTTCACCTCAAGATTTGACTCGCAAGTACCATGCATCATTCACAACTCACTCACTTACTCTAACATGGAGGTCAATGACATTACCTTTCCTTCATGAATCACGTGCCCTCACTTAACAAAAGAGAGTAGTTCCACACACACAATAAAATTTAAGAAGAATTAGGAACTCAAGATAGAAAGAATTCACTCACTCTCAGAAATAACAATCGTATGCTACAAAAGATGCACCATAGGCTTGCCCGTAGTGTACTACTCTACTAGTCGAGCTCATTCGGTCTAGGATCAAGTAGGACTTTATTTGGTTGTAATGTAGGCTGCGGGACGGGTAGGATACATTTAGATATAAGAGTGACTACACCTCCCTAAGCACTTTAATACATATACTTTAACATTCAAGCCCATACTTATGTCAAACCAAAGCTCCACCTTCACATCAATGTATATTACCCCATACTTCTTTAAACACAATTACATCAAGAACCACCACTTATCAAAGAATATTTTTCGCAACAATACAACTATTTTTTTCTTTCTTTTCTTTTTTTTTCCAATTCAAGTGGCTCTTACTTTTTCAAAACAGTGCACCTTTCTCCTTATCTCATTAGTTCCACTCAAAAGCCAAACTAACCACCCCACACTTTAACTTTTACAAAGTTCATTACAATTCAAGTGCTCGTGAGAGGTGAAAAGGTTCATATAGATAGTTAATTCAAAGAAAGGTGTAAGGCTTGTAATGTGGTTGCCAAAGAAACATGATTATAGGCTCAAAGGGGTTAACTACGTTACATAACAATTAGGTGGGTAAAATATACATATGGCTCAACAAAGAAACGCCTGTATCACTTCCAAGACTGAACAAAACTACTATTTCGCTTTGCAAACACACGGGGCAAGTTCTAGACATCAAATGCAATGTACAGAATAACACAAAACCTTACACACATTAACTCACTCAGGATTGGACTCGTCAAGACACTCTAGTCAAAGCAGTTAAGCAAAGTTAAGCTTATACAATTTAAGGTACTTATAAAAACTGAGCCTAAGCGTCACAACCAAAGTACTCACTATTCTCAAGGCATAAAAAAGTCAAGAGATGTTGCTTCAATTCAATTCATCTCATACCGGCTCCTACTCTTAAAAAAAAGATAAAACTAACTACACCCGGTTCAAACAAAGCCCTTGGAGACCGCGACACAAAGAAAATCCAAGGGGGAATTACTACACTATCTACAAAGAAAATCTTTTTATCTTTTTTTCTTTAGACTTAAATCCCTCTAGAAAATTGTCTAGGATATCCATCGTCGGGAAAAGTCCAATCTTTTTTTTTCGTTTTTCTAAAAAAATAAAAAAAATATTCAATTAAACTAACACAACTAAAATAGTATAGAAAGTCACCCAGACAATCTCCTCACCCCACACTTAAAATTGTGCATTGTCCCCAGTGCACATTATAACTAATAAGAGGGTAAAAGAAACTCCCTGGTAGGCCAAAGGCCGAAGCACTAGCAGCTCATGGGGTACTCAGACTTCTCCCAAGCTTGGTCCTTCGTGCTGGTACCTCACACTTGGTTCCAACCATCTGGTTTGCTGTTGCATCCTTCCAATAGCTTTGCTTTCCATGCTCCTAGAAAATCAAAAATCGACACT